TGTCCCAAATATCGGTGAAAAAATTAAGCATTAATTCCAAGTATGAACGTGAAATTGAGTCAACCTGTGTGTGCTCTGACGCAAGATTTGCTAGTACCTCAAATGATTAGTAGCACTTGCATACATTTCAAACTTTTGTACGCCAATTATCCTGTTATACTGGCTTTATAGTACCCAGAGCTTTGCTTTGTAAAATTCGATACCTAACAAACGCTCATCATGAATCATTCACTAGAATGTTTTGCGGGCTCAAAACTAAATAATTTGTTGGAAACTATTGCAAGTTTAAAAGACAAATATAACGTCAGTCTGATGTGTGCACATCTTTATGGTACATATTGCATGATCTGTCTAGATAACATCTAAACTGAAACAGTGAAAAAATTAAACAGACTTCTGATGCCATAAATGATGTTCCAGTGGTCTTTAATAGTTGCAATGGTTTTATCAAGTTACTCAAACATCAGTACATAAAATCAATAACGATATTTCTATCTGAGTTTTTGCTTCCAGATTTACCCGGAAATAGCCCATTAAAAAGAGTCAAATACATATATTACACCAACACCTTGGGCTTTTTTCAACATAGCGAAATTTCTTAACTATGTCCGAACTCTTTATGTTATCAATTAATTGACTTCAGTTTGGCGTGTCATGTGCAGGAACTTTTTCATTGACCTGTGCTGTTTTGGTTCTTAGACTCAAGGTAAAGTGTATGTGTACTGACACATGAGGCTAAACAATAACAGTGCATCGTTGCCGAATAAACCAGCCTTTTTCCGAGTGCATTTTTTTTGAATCGTGTTACCACAAACTCTTTATGTGCTAACTACCGCGGTGTTGTAACTTCGAAGCCCTAACCGCAGTAAGCACATTAGGGAATTTCGATTTTAGCCTTAAACGCACTATATGGTTTTGCCACTTAATTTGATAGAAATCTGGCATGCTGGGGTAAAACCGGTTGGCTAAACGGGCACACCAGTTTATTGGTCATTCCATTTTCTGTTTGCGTGGGCTTGTGTGTCTATTTTAGCTTTTTGTCCGTGTCACACACGAACACAATTAATCTCCTGTTATCATGCCTAGTAGTGTCTAGAGGCAGTGTCCACACATCAGTGACTGAAATTAAAGCGAAACCAAAAACGACAAACAAATTCCCAAGTGTGCCCTGTGTATTAGTAATTCAAAGTCCTGAACTTGGGCTAGGAAATAGAAAGCACTATATCTGTAATGATGTGCTAGGAATCAATTTTGATGTAACTGGATGGGTGACGGGTTCACTATCGCCTGATACAATGACGCCGCTACACCACGGATCCTCACTTTTTCCTTCGCTTCCTCAATCTTCCCCAAAATCTGTTTCATTTGGCCAACAACTGCAGCAGCAAGCAAGCGTGGGAGTAAAAAACACGACGCACCATTCAAATGCGCGATCACTTGCCGGCGTCACCTATAGGTCCACGGGGACCGGCGTATTAACAAGCGCAAGTGACAATACCAGGAATTATAAAATTTCTGATCACTTCAAAGGGGACTCCTCTCGCTATTCCTCTTCCACCTGCAGTAGCACCACTTACACAAACGTCCCTTTCGACGCTGATGTTTCGCCATATGACGAAAATGAACAACATTTTACAGAGCTGATGAACGACCGGATTGAACGAGCCTACGGAAAACTGCCGAAAAACGTTGCTACAGGCATTCTTCTATCTATACCAGCAACCCGAGAACTATTTGCAAGTCCTTCTAGCAGTAATAACGTTTGTTCAGAAAGAATAAGTCCAAGCAACATTCCGGATTTGAAGATGTCTTCGACTGGAAAAAGGAATCGACGTTCACGTCAACAAACAAAAGTCCAAAGTCAAAAGAACTCTACAAAGACCACCACCACAATAGCCCCTATGCTTTCGGAACAACTTGGATTTGCTGCACAAATGGGCAAAGCCAAGAAAGAAACAGTTGCTGGAATGAAGTTGGCATCTGAAAATGGGCTTGTTTTTAAAAGCCAGTTACAGGACAAGGAATACGTCTTTTTAAATGCCGCCGAATTCGGAGAGGTGGAAATTGTTCGGGAATTACTAAATGATCCAACTTTGAATGTTGACTGTGTGGATTACATGGGAAGAAATGCAGTTCTTTTGGCAATGAAAACGGAAAATATCGAATTAATTGACGCATTAGTTGGAAAACTCAATTTCTACGCCGTAGAAGATGCACTTTTGAATGCTATCAGCCAGGAGAAAATACATATAGTAAAACTTATAATTGACCACCCTCAGTACATTCGCATGGAAAAGATTATGGCACCTCGCAGGCAGCGAGCTGGCATAATTAATAAGAGCATCGAAAGGTCCCAATTCTCCTCTGACATTACCCCCTTAATGCTCGCAGCTCACACAAACAACCATGAAATCATTCAACTTCTCCTAGATCGTGGACTAAAGGTTGAAATGCCACACGACAGGAGTTGTCCTTGTTGGGACTGTGAGTCAATTAGAGCTAAGGTGAGTGAACAACAAAGTAAGCAGCTGAGCGTACAAATGCAAGGGGATCATCACCATGAAGCAGCCAACTCCTTTTTACCGTTGTTCGCCCAAAATAGTGGAACTAAGTATGAATTTTTTGATCATTTAAGAGCTTTCTCTGCACTTTATAAAGCTCAATTGAAACAAGTGTTTTAATAACAATGAGGCTATATTGTAAATGCAGCGAGAACAAAGCGATTAATTTTTGATTTATTTTCATTCGCATGTCAAAAGTTCTATTTTTTTGAGGTCTTAAGTCTTACACTCATCAGAAGTCCTGTATATTTTCTAGAGTAAATGATTATACATTGCCTTCTAAATAATAACGATTGACACAAAGACTCAGATGATTAGAGGCTGACCAAAATTAATGGGAACAATTTCTTCTGGTTTAAGGCACGCTTTTATTCGAACAGTAAAATATATATAATTTGTAATATATTTTATTCATTGGTCTTACAAAAATGATGCTATTATTCCTCAGAAAACGGTTATAGAAGCACACATCCGGTAAAATGAAGGTAAAGGATTTAATAAAGTACATTCTTAAGGTGCCTTGATATATTTACTTTTCAGTTTCCTAATAGTGATACAACATGCAGACCTTGGTGCAAAATGTACGATGTTTACCACCTTATTTCAAACGATTGGGAAATTTGACTTAAGGAGGGAATTATTTTGAAGCGCTAATTCTTGGTAACAAATATTCTATGTCGCCTCTGACAAACTTTTAAAATAGGACATTTATGAGACATTGATTTAGATGTGACAATGGTGAGTTGGAAATTATAGGAATCATTAAAAAAACTAACTTATTTTTATTATTATTTTGCCTTTTGTTGACGGGGTAGTCGCTCAGGTGCAAAATGCGAAGCATGATAAACTAATGTTTAAAAAGATAGTTGGCCCTCTCTCGTAAAATTTGCGTTGTTAATAATTTAACTAGACAGCGATGAAATCATTTGCGTGCAGATTGTGGTGCACATGGCAGCAAACTACGTCGTTGCGCATCTGAATAAACAACATTGCTCATTTTGCACGACTTAAATGAAAGCCGAATTGTTCGCATTCATATTTTATAAAAAATACTCCATTTTGCACGATTTACTTAGAGGCCGAATCGTTGATAAAAATAGCCAATGTTTAACTTAGACTGACGTTAAACATTTTGAGAAGTTCTGATTGTGTCTTATTATACTTTGACTGTTCAATTTGGATCTGCTTCCCTGGTGGTAACTTACAGACGTTGGGTCATATTTTTGGGGGAAAATGCATTCTGAACTGTTTTAACTAAGTTTGTGTAAATGTTTTGATGTTTTTTTAACAATATAGTCTGCATGGTTGCAAACCCATTCGCTTTATTTGAACCTACAAAGAATATCGCAGGTCACTATAACTGCTGAAAAACAATTAAGCCAAACCAAAATGTTTACAACTGCTAAAATGCACAGTGTACAATAATTTTTTGCCTTGTTGCGAACATCTTAACCCAATGAAAAATATGACATTAAAGTTTAATTGTTTGAAAAATTCATTTACTGACGACGTCGGCTTCAACAAATTTTAACCCGCGTTTCCTGCACCTTCTGCTATGTCACTTACATGTATTAGCTGCATGCTCTAGTCAATGCATATAAAAATACAACTATTTTTTGCCCAGTACAATTGTCACAAAATCAGTAAAATTTTGACACACTCCTAGGCCTGCAAAATAACCTTACTTCATTAAGTTTGGCAGTCTTAAAACTATGAAAGTCAACTTAGTCGAAGTCGGGATTTGCGTAGATTTATTAAGCATCACGCTTTACTGTTGGCGTCTAGTTGTGATCGCCTGATTAAAAAAGGGCGATCAGTTAAATTTCATGGATTTTGATTTAAAAACCTAGAAGGTTGCTGTTTTGCTTTTAGACGAACCCGAAATGATGAAACGCTTAGCGTTGTAATTCCTAAGGTGGTTCAAGTAACATCAGTAACTGTAATTTGTAATTCATAGTTTAGATCTTGAATCATTAAACCACTTGTACTGGAGCATCACATGCCTACAGACCACTGTTAAACAAATATTTTGGACAGCTTCTAAAATTTGCACTGATCTTACCTTGTAATTTATAAAAAAAACTAAATTCTAAAGTTACAAATTATACACCCTTCGTACTTGTAATTGAGTCACAATAATTTTTTTCTTTTTCTCTAAATGAAAGTACTTCAATTTTTGTATTCATTTATTTTAACTAGAATATGGATAATTTATTCACTCTTTGCTTGTAGCCATGAATGTAATTTAAAATAGCATATAATCCTGTGCTAAATATCGATAAAAAGAGCCTCCTGTTACGGGGACTATATCCTCAGAACTTGTGCAATTAAAGCGCTTGAATTTGCAAACCAAATTTTAGGTCAACGAATTTAATAAACTAGAGCTATCAAGTCCTGATTTCATTCAACGAAATCGATTTTTGTTTGAATAGTTGTGAAAATCAACGTTATTCATAAAAACCTGTTACCAAGTTTTCATTTAAGCAAGTTCGAAGCTAAATGTCATTAAAGTATATTTTTAGGAATGCTTCTCACTAAAAAGCCAGTTTCAACTTCCAATGCCTCAATATTTTAAATAACCATTGTCTAAGATCAGTGGCAATACTTAAGTACCCAATTTCTTTCAATACAAGTTATCAGACCCATCCAATTCCTCAGCTGTTCATTTTATTGCTATTAGTGTTTAGTATGTGAGTCAATCTTCAAATTCCAATGTATACTGTATGTTCCACAATACCATTACATTCTTGTAACGTCACCAAATGTGAGCACGCAATTGCATCATCACGATAACTTAGAATTCCTAGTGCTAGATTGCGGTGAATATTAGAAAAGAGGAGATACTGGAAACTACTGTTTTTAGAGGCCCACAAATTTGAGTTTTGAGGATGTTAAATTTATGAACTAAAGCACAATGCGTGAAAAAAAATTAAAAGCTACTTAGAATTCATTTAACACTTTGGCTTACTAACTCTGAAAAAGCATCGTGTTACTTAATTAACAGCTTATTTCTTCGTCTATTCAACTAGTGCAACTAATTGGAATCCTGCAAGCAGCAAAGAAAGGACTTTGGTGTTCTTATTCGTCTTTAAAATTCCGGTTAGGATCATGTCATCGGCTTGGTCTAGTGTTGACAGTTATGTTTACATTTATTAGCCAATGATGTCTAAAAACGAACCGAAAAAAAAATTAAAATTGTGCATCCTTTTAACTGTGAGATATTAATAGATACCCTAATGTTCTTTTAACAGTCACTATAATGGTCAGAGAATGCCCACTATTATCCATAAAAGTCCACCATTCCAAAAGTATTGCTCGCGCATTCCCCACCAACACCCTGACCATTTCGCAAGAATAAGTCATTGTCTTTGAATATGGCTGTGAATCCAAAGTTTATATTGTGTTACTCCCGGAAGTAAACGGCGTTGTAAAAGTTAATGGTAAAGCTTGCAATTATGATAAATAATACCTGTTCCGGACTGGTTTCACTGATTTCTGTTCTGTGTGCCAAAAAATTCAACAAAATTCTTTTCTTTACAAGACATCGATTTTGCCACTTATCACAGCATCAACTCCACAGGTTAATTTTGTATACATTCACTGCATGGCTATAAGCAGTGATGATTTGTGCCGTTGCTGTAATAGGACCTATTTTAATTTACTGTAATTGGCATATCTCTAGCAGAAGACACTACCTGTGAGCTGAGTAAGACATAGAGCTTTTTCTCTCGAACGCAGGACTCCCTTATCCTTGAAATGCAGCGCCTCCACACCTACCAGGCATTGACCAGTTCGGCGTACCTTGCGCTGACCACTTCCGACCCCGTGAGCTCTGCCTTCACTCTCCGGGGCGAGCTCTATCAACTGGCTTCACAGGAAAAGCAATTTAAGGTAGTTACATCCCTTGTTTATTTTAAGCACCTAGAATTTGTTTAATTGGCTGCTATCAAGTAACTTAACGACTGTTAAACTCTGATTTGTTTTATCAAACACACGACTTATCTGGAAAATGTAGCCCTTAAAACCAGGTTCTTATGGCATTTTTTGAAGATGGTTCGTCTGATTCAAGCAAATGTACAATTAGTTTGTCAGCGGTAACTGCCCTTTCGATATTGGCACGTCGGGGTCACCAATTTGTAGTGGGCCCCGGTGCGGTTTTAGAAACCACACCAGGGTCGACAATCTACATTGACACGGCCCGACCGAAAAAAAAGCAGAAAATGCTGATGGCGTGTAGCTCAACCAATTTATTGATGCAGCGGTGTGTATGTGTGTACAAGATAACAAGTACGTTTATATAGCCTTGCTAAACGTCGATCCCTGAACGAACGTAGTTAGGTGAAGTTCATTCACGTAAATCAGTTGAATCATGTTCGCTCGCGTGCTGCTCACCACAGCTCTCCCCCTTTGTAAAAGGACTTAGCGAACCCTTTCTTCCAATGTGGATTCTGAAAGGTGAGCCGTAGGTTTCCGCGGTCAAAATGTGGCCCGTGTGAAAGTAGAAATGAAGCGGATTATCGTACGCTGAATGTAACTGAGACACTTGGCATCGTTGTTCGTTTTCGGAAGTCGTTCGAGGTGAATCATTGTTGTCGATACAACCTTTTCTACCATTCGGATATCTGAAAGGTTGATCGCTGGAGAGGTCGTGCATGGTGCCGAATCGTAAAATCGTTGACGTCTTTCGATCTGGTTGACAGTCGAGAACCAGGGAACAGAATCGGTCGAAAATAATTGCTCGATAAGCGTCAGAAGTCGAGGCCAATGAAAATCGAGAGATGCGGCCAGGTTGTAAAAAAGGATATATTTGTCCAAAAAAATGGAAGGATTGTTGCAGAACGATAGATAGCCGCCACCAGGTGATGGGAGTCAAAGGGCATTGTTCAGAGTTTAGCAGCATCCAGAGATTTGGCGTCGTCCGGAGAATTGTGGCCAGAAATGAATTCCCACATAGTGATGAGACGGAATCATGCTAGTAGGTGGCCAAACGTCAGTACAACAAAGGCCGATGTTTCGGACACCAGAAGGTCGATATTCGTCCAACGTCGGGGTCACCAATTTGTAGTGGGCCCTGGTGCGGTTTTTGAAACCACACCAGGGCCGACAATCTACAGAGGTTTCACATCATGGAGTATCACCACAATTATTTATTGTTTGACCATGAAATACTTTTTAGGAAGAGTATTCTCGCCTAGCGGTGCAGTCGATGGACTTCGCCGTAAGCTGTCTCGACTTGTGTCGGACGTCGGATGAAGTTCTTTCTCTACTAACCGCTAATGACATTATTCCTAATGGAGATGCCCAATACCATCTTGCCACAATAAAGCATGCCGTTCAATGTCGAGAAAAAAAGGTTATTTTGAAAAATTTTTATTACACACCACGCCACATTTTCAAAATTTCCAAGAATTAAAAGCGCATGTAACGATCATTTTTCTCAAATCCGGTGGTTTTAAACAAACAAAATGATGCTGAAATGAGGTAGAGAATGGCGAGTGCGCATTATCAACTAATAAAAAGAATTAAAAGCAAGGCAGATAGCAACAACGCTATAGGTACCGTCACACGTGAGAGTGGAGGAAGAAGTGCGTTCAATTATGCAAATCCGGTGTTTGTGTATGCGTTGACCACCCATGTACACCACACGGGAGAAATAGTGTTCATTTTAACATTAATTATTAAAGCGCAAAGTGATCAAAAGAGCATGTTAAAGTACTTATCCGCATGACAAACTTTGAAGATATGTTATTTAATTTACGTCGGATTCAATCAAATGCACCCTATAAATTGAACTTTCAGGCTTTTAATTAGTTGCAATAAAGATCTTTAATAATTGCAAATTCTCAAAACGCAATCATTTGATTGAATCAGTACTATGTAAATAGATGCAATAATGAATATGGATTTATACAACTCAAGGTAAAAAGAATTTTGAAACCTTCCTCTTCCTCGTGCCAACATGATCACCCTAACGAACAGATTCAGGGCATCGGGTACGATGATGGTTTGCAGCAGTTATCAATAAGTAATTGAGTCAGTTGCTCTGCATAAATCATAAAAAGTGACTGTTTCCTTTAAGTGGTTTTGCTATTATTTATTCGGAATTAGTAGTTCGCTGAGAAAAGATTACAAGTAATGTCTAATTTATTGATAATTTTTTTTAAAATTAACTTGTAGCTCATGTAAGACGTGAAGGCAATCATGCCAAAACTAGTCACCTCGTCTTCTAAAATTTTAGTATTTCGATGAAGCATTGTTTTCATGACGCTAAAATACGCTCTTATGTAAACTTTCATTTAAATAAAACACTTCTAAGTTGAGATGCCATATTCGTTTTTTGACAATTTTGCATTACCTACGCCAAAGAGCGGAGAAACATTGCTATTGGCTTCGGTGCGCCTTTAAATTCAATTAAGTTGAGTTGCATTAACATGAAGATGTGCGACTTGAGATTCCTGGGAATTGGAGATGTTTGCTCAGTGGACTGCTGTGAACATGAATTTACCAATTTTGAAAGTTAAAAGTGATTGTGGCTCATCATGAACCGAACTTTATCATGCTGTAAACTCTGTCAATGACGACGTCTTCCTTGGGGGTGAGTAAATAGTTGTTTCCGCCTTGTCAACAACAGTTAATAGGTCTGAAGTGTATATTAGTCGGTGGTACAGGGCCCCACCGTTCAGATAATAAGGGTCCGGTAGTGACACATATATCACTCATCAATTAAAACCACCGTAACTTGACAGCATTTTTAATTAGATATCAACTCTCAAGTACAACTCGATGGATTCTAGCCAAGTGGCATTTTTCACAAATATGGGATTATTAATAAGCACCTCCTGCAGTGAAACATTGAAGTGTAGTAATCTGAGGTCAATCAGACACATCCATTTGTCGGAATCAGTAATTTTCGTAGATTCCTTTTCACTCAGGTTTTACCTTAGCTCCAAAAATGTTGTGAATCACTTTGACAAGTTTGCCCTCTGTATTTAAGTTAGTGCTTTGAAAGGTCTGCTTAATGATCTACGCGCAAGATTTATTTGCATATAACCTGCTCAATTTTTGAAGATGTCCATACTGCCTTTGGTCCTCTAGTTATTTTTCAGAAGCCTGTGGATACACATATCCTCCAGCACATTGATAACTCTTACATCGATTAAACTTTTTTAATGAAGAGGCCACAATAATAAACTACAACGGTTTTTAAGTAAGAAACTATGACTCATTTTTAAATTACCGCTATTATTTTAAAGTTCACCGATTTAAAGGAATTCTTGATGTGTATGACTAAAAAGAGGCTACAAATCCTGTGTTACCGTGTAATTCAAAAGTTGGTTGCATCTAATTAGTTAGTGTATTTGTAACTGATTTATAATTGCATTTTACAATTTATTCATTTTCTCCCACTTACATGCCCCGGGTAACGTTGACACCCGTCTGTGAACTGACTACCATTGTAATTCATTGTTCTAGTTTGTCGCTCACTCAAACTGCCAACATCAATTAGAAAACACCTTCTACGGCAACATGTTCTGCATTCGAGATTTCGAGGGGTGGCAGCGGCTCCAATTCTTCATAATTTTTACACCACTTTTGCCCGTTCTCTACCTGACTTACCTATTTTTCCCCAACCTCAAGGTGAGCAGTTATCTACTTACCTAATTTAAGTTGTATACTGCAGTCAATATCTGGAGGAACGGATTACTAGCTGAACCAGTAAATAGTTTAGGAATCGACTAAAACTCACACATGTCCAGAAGCCAGTGCAGTTGATTACCAAAATTTATGCCGTGTTGATTTAATTGTAAATTAAATTCAGACATCTTAGTTCTTTTGGTGGTTACCGCATAAACTGTTGGCACTGAACACAAACCGTTCAGTGTTTTTCTGCGACAAGAGTCAAGTGAGATTCTTTAACAGGAAAGACTAAATGCCAGCTGCTCTCTGAACGGATGGTTCAATTTTATTCTGATTAGGAAATCACTAATTTCTTGATGTGAGTGACACGAACAATTTCGTTGCACGATGTGGTCCATAAAGCACTCATCACATATGCAGCTGCCGCTGAATTATGCACAAGCACGGGTCAGAATTACCCAAAGCGAGGGTTCCTGGTTTGCACACCTGAATCAAATTGTGTTTGATTAAACGGACACATGACACTTGTTAGAAGTTAATTTGGTACCAACAACAGCATTTCAAAGAGGCCGTTGATGGTGCTTTGATGTATTAAGGTCTGTTAGAGAGGCAAGTCCCAGTACCACAGGGGTGATCATAGCGATATTTACCTGTTCTGGGCATCTCCTCGTCGTCAAAATTTGATTCCCTTGTAAAAAATACGTTCATCAAGGTTATTTGCGTCAAAATAGAAAAGGCAGCTCGGAACTTTATCAAAACATAAATGCTTTATCCCAAAACAGTAAACACCGATTAACGCTGAGTGCACAATAACAAAAATGCTCCAAATAATCCGGTGGTGGTTTGCACGCCGAGTAAACAAAGTAGGCGTGCACCGCTTGGCCAGAACCAGAAACGCAAAACAGCAAGGTAAGCAGGGAAACATTGGTAAAAGTTATAATGCTAAAAATACTTATTCCATTCTATCATCGGTAATAAAAATTAGATGAGTATTATGTACGGACATCAAATTCCTTGAAAATAAATTAAATTAACTGTGCACTCCAAGCTGTGTTCATGTGTTTTGTAATTACCATACAAAAAAAGCCTTTTTTTAAAAAAAAACGGTCACGATTTTTTAGATGTTTAAATGAAGTGATCATAAGCGAAAACAATTTGTTTATTCTAACCGTCTTGAGACTTTACGAAAATTTCTCTTTTTATCTAGAGCCATTTCTTATATTCTCTTTACAATTGTAACCATAGTTTTTATTAATGCACGTAAAATTCGGATTTTTTTATTAAGCAATGTGTCACTTTTTGAAATAAATTACCCTAGAGACATTTCAGTTAGTTTTTTATACATTTTTGCCTTGTTTTCATATCAATTTAGGATTACTTTAAGTGTAGTGGAAATACCATCTAAATTAACAAATGCACAAACTGGGAGATTACTTTGCGAGATGCACTTGAAAACGTATTTTCAGGAACCATGCACAATAATAAGTCTTATTTAACACTAAAGCATGCCGACTGATAGCATTTTGTAAACATTTACCCAGATATCATTGCGAAATATTGTAGATTATGTGGCAAATTAGCAGATGCCCTAAAATGCACCAGTTGCTTCAATAGAACTCGTTTACAGGTTAACTCAATCCACCGATTTTGCAAATTAAAAAAATGCAGATAAAAATTTTTAGCAAAAATTGCCTAGAGCAGCGTCGAGGAGCCCCCACAAAAGACCCCAGGACATTTACTTGTAGCGAATTTTCTTTTATGACGAGTGCCTGACTTGGTGGTCGAACTGTTTTTCGCGTGAGAACTCACCCTTCGCCTTGTCCCTTCGTCATTGGCGGACGTGTGATGCGGAGAAACGGCCAAACAGGACACACGAAAAAGGCGTTCACAAAATCAAACTGAACAGTAACGTTACATTTATTCCGCGCAAATGCCACAGTCTATTTGGAAATTGCAGCCCGCATTATGTGAAGACACGCAGGAAACACATTTACTCAAAATTGCAGAGTCGAAAGTGGAAAAATACTTTTCGTTTAATTATAATTTACATTATCTTGGAATTTCATCAGTGGAGTTTGTTGCAGTGGAAAATGCAGTGCCCTTAGTAACACGATGGCGGTTTCATGCATTCAGAAGATCGTGTCGGTGGTTTACTGTTGTCTTAGAGACCGGTTGCTCTGTGCCTGACTCTTTTCAAACAAAAGTTAACAAACCACCACAAAGCGCTCGAACGTAACAGTAACGAGAACTTTATGGCGCATATCTGACAAACGGCCCCCTGTTGTGAACTAATATAATTTTGCCTTAAACTAGTTTACTAACTCGAACATCAATTTTGAATAACGTAATAATGTTAATAACAAGTAACGCTTTAACGTAATTCTGTGCATTTTGGAAATGATAAAATTTTATTTGATAGGTCTGAATTGTGATAAGGCTTAAATCTTGTGCACGTTTCAACCGAATGTTACTCAAAAAGCATTAAGTAGCGTGTAGTATACCTAAACGTGTTCACACATTTTTGATTTAATGTTACAGGTTCCTCTGCCGCAGGGTTTAATGTTTCGTCAGACATCAACTGGAAGACTGCAGGTTAGCTGGATTACTTGAGATTTGTGCTATGCACACAAACGTTTCCGAAATCTAACTATTGAAAGCAAGGTGTTATTTCGGCTTAAGGATTGCTTTGAATTCACGGTTCGTCTGTCTTCAAATCATGAGTATTTTTTAAGCATCGGAACTGATTTACCAATAAAATCACACTCCACTAAACCTCAAATTCTGTGACAATAATATTATACTTGAAGGTTGTTGATAGGATTCCATTTATGTGAGTGACAAATTTTATGCATGTCTTTTAAGTTAGCAATTCCACCATTTGAAGATGTCAAAAAACCTGAAGTTAACAAGTTCAAGATTTCCATCGTACTCTGTGTTGCTGACGTTGTCAGCCGAAAAGCTTTAAAGCAGATTTTGTTAGAAATAACCCGGAGATTCAGAGGATTTGAAACAGACACGGTAGCGCATCACATATTTGCGCGTAGTTACCTCTCTTAGTTGATGCGATCTTGCAATCTGATGCAAAATCATTTGATTAGTCTCCTGAACATGCCCTACCAGTTGTATACCTAATTCTAACATCCTAATTGATAGAAGTGTGGGAGTCCCAACCATCAAAGCATTAATTACACGTGTTTCTGCGCATTATTTAATTAATAATGAAGACATAATAACCTCGAAAGCACCTAACGCCGACAAATAACTTCTTCTTGTAACAATTTCTGACAAAAATTAGACTAAAGACCACCAAAACAAAGAACATGGAACATTGCGTATATGTGTTTATTGGGGTGCAATTTTGTTGGAATCGCATAAATAGACATCGGACACATTCTGAGACTTAAATTCCTACTCACGAATTTGAACAGTATAGTAAAATGCAATTGTAGGTTGTTTGCTTGTTCAACATTGTTCGTATGATTCACAGGTTTTTCCCTATCAGTCATTTATCACTAAATCCTTTTTAAGGACTGGTCATCTCACTATCAATAGCCCACTATTAGTAGCCCTGTCCATTTTCACCGAAAACAGTATAACTTGACTTGCATTAATCATTCCAGAAATTTAGATCTTAATGTTGACTGGACTCGTCCCTGTGTGCTAAGGTACTTATTACTAGGCCAAATATGCACAAAGCCATTTACCATGTTCAGTAAATATTTAAAATTTCACCAAGCCCGTAACATTTCCAAATGCAGCCGCCTCTTAATACCCATGATGACCTTGACCCTAATTGATGTGGGTCAAGAGGGCCTTGGAATTAATGTGACCAAATGAAGTAGCGTAGTTGGGGAAAACGTGCAAGTGGTTACAAATTTTCAGTTTTGTTATGAACAACCTGACTTCCTCAGCGCTTTTGCGATAGCCATGTTTTCATTTGAGCAACTCGTGAAAGAGGAAGTGATAGATAAGCCTTCCTATTAGCATTTTCGTTTAGGAATCAAGGCTAATAACGTGCTACAACTTCTTTAAACAAAAATATATGATCGGCCATTTTAAATTACATTTGCTCATTTTTTATATCGTTAATGATTTAATTTAAGGTGGCTCAGTTGTTGCGGTGCCCGATTATCAAATTCATTGGTCACATGCTGTCCTACTTTACATTCCTGCTGCTCATAACGGTGGCAACTTTCCGATTGGACAAAGACGATGACGAGGCCGAGCATCCGGATCTGTGGAAGGTGCGCGCCTTTCAAATCTGGAGCTATGACTTTCGAAGTAGCCAACAGGTCATGACAAAGATCCAGATCATTCTCCTCTTCTGGATACTAGGTAAGTAAATAAGAGGCTTAGCACAATGAACAGTAGAGGGTAGCAAATCTCGAAGGTGGGTTGCTCGAGTTAATTGAAGCGAAGCAAAATGTAGAACTGAACGATGAAAAGAACTGCTCAATGGTCGAAGTTGTGTGCTTTCGCACTAGACTGGGTTCCGAGTCTGCCATTGCAACTAAGTGCCTATATATACTTGATTATGTCTCAAAAAGTATACTTCAAGAACATACCCTACCCAGTGAGTATTCTGTCTTCAACACCATCCGCACAAAGCCATGACGAGATATTTCTCGTTAGCATCTAAATTTGACGTTATGTACAAGTTCATGGAAATACAACCACTTTTTCTAGGAATGAATTCTCGTCAGCAGGATCCCGAAGAATTCCAACTTAAATTACTTTTCAGACCTCTATCCTATCTTTTAAAATTAAATTAATCGTTTTAAGCGAAACTCATAGATAGTAGTTTAGCTAACAAGGTGAGGTCTTTTCTATACAGAAAACCGTAAATTTATGCCCAAAACTATAAATAAGTTATGTCACGAATATTTCATTATATGTGAACTGCATTCACAATAATAATTGGTTATCAAAGATGTGCAAACGACTTAAATTAATTCTATTTTAAAGGAGTTTTCTACGCAACCCACCTGTGCGAATTGCATACGCTCTGTACGTTCAATTCTAGAGGTGAATAACTAAAAGCACTTTTTGCGTTGTCTTGCATTTCTTAATCTAAAATTTGACTTAAATTGCAAAGTAAGCTGACATTCTAACTAGTGGCGGATTTCAAATCTTCTGTGTCAGGTTAATAGCATACAAAAAAATACTGTATGCATAACATATTTGAAGTATCAGAGGACACTGAAGAGATTGTTAAGAGATTATCACCATCCAATTAAAGATTTTTCACTATAGAAATTACAAAAATAATAAATGCAAAAATGAATACCAATGCGGATTGGCTGTGCGTGCAGCCGTAAACTATAAACGAGTATCCACTTGTACAGCTTATTCTAGGAGGCTCCATAGCAATAAAACTAGCATAAAGTTACGCACCGCAAAATATCATGCATAAAATATAAGATACCTTGGCTATATGATCCCCTGTAATTCCTGGATGCCACATCCTCTGACGGAAAACTATCTCCTTCCTCATTTACCGATCTATAGTTGTTGCTTAATGAAAGCAATCAGTCTGTTACGAAGTTTTAAATCAGCTGAAATTAAAAACATGACATGTAAAAGGTTATTGCTAGCAAACATGGAGTGCTTGGTGTAGCATTTTTGGTTGCACCAGAAACCTTCCGGCTACAGTCTCAGTCTGATGACTTCCATCTTTTTAGGGCAGCTTTTTGGCGAGTGTAAGCAGGTCTACCACTATGGCTTGCAAGATTACTTTCGGAGTTATTACAACATTATGGATTGGGCTTCAGTGTCGCTGTACTTGGGCGCATTCGCCTTGCGGATTTTCGTAGAACTCAGGGTTCAAGCAACCCAGGGGATATTTCAGCATCAGCTCACCTTCGCTCAGTCCCTCCTTCAGAATGCAAGCAATACAATAGCAGAAAGCGGAGCGTCAGTTTTGTTCACTGATCAACAAAGCAATTACGTCGCTTATCGGAATCGTCTATTATCTGAGGCCGAGGCATATTGGCTACGAGGATGTAAGCTGCACTGTGTTTCAAACTCCTCACAAAGGCTTATGTTGGTTTCTTTTTACAATTTATTACAGCAAATATTATGTCAGAGTAACATCTTTCAATCAATGCTATAACGTCAAACAGCGTTAATCATTTTTGGTTAAGAATGGCTACTCACTGAAGCCATTTCTAAATTTTTGCATAAATTGCTTCAACCATCTCTTACACTCACCACAATGCTTTGTCTTGTCAGGCGTTTGTTTTCTAACACTAGAATGCATATTAAGGTTGGAATGCATCAGTAAACATACATAGGGTTAGTGCGCGCAATATTGTTTTTCTTTTGCACTTAATTTCTGGTGTCGGCAAGTTTCTGAGCTGGTTTACATAATTAAACACTGTACCTTCAGTAAATCAAGCAAAGTACATAAATAAAGCAATAGCAACTTTCCTATCCTCGTTCGTATTTACAACATAAAAAATTCAACTAAGTGGAATAGCGAAGTATTCATAAAAGGCACCACTGTGAACTTTCAAAACACCCCCTGGAAATATTAAACTAAACAGCTTTGTTCAACATTCATTAAAATGAATTTCTCTTTACTACTCAGTATTATTGCGAGAAATTACTCAGATAAATTAAGTAATGCCCTCTCCACTTTTTAACACACCCTGAATACTGTTAATGAGTGCTTCTGATCGATAGTGTTTGACATGCACACCAGTTACAAGATATGGTGGAATACTCTTTTGGCTGATTGGTAAAATTAAGATTGAATGTTCTTCAAATCCAAGAACGTTCAGATAGAGCCTACGGAATTAGTAGATGAATTTCGATAGCCCTACTAGAAGTAATTTGAGCCAGATGTAAAAAGGGCGCTTAGTCTTGAAAAAAATGAAAGTGGATGAGTGCTTATAGATGTTACACTTAATGTGTAACCATGCCTTTTTTGTTCAGATGGATTACCTTTTAAAGCCAGCAATAATAGATTTCCTTTTGAATACTTTTGGATAAAATGACAGATTTTTGTGGTTTTAAGTAACGTTTTTTTGTAAAAAGTCGGTTAACATTAAATAACATTAAATTCACCGTCATGCTATGTAAAGTTCAAGTATCTGATTGTCAATGTACTCAACGTCATACCGAGTAAATTCTTTCTCAGTTGGAACTATACTTTAAGGCTGAAACGATTCAGGTGCCTGGTTTTTTAAAGAGCTATATTTTATTTCACCCTAATGACTAAGTGAGCAGACTTAGAACTGTGCCTGCAGGTTTAAAACACAACACTTTGCCACAAACGAGCATTTCATGAATTTAATACTTTTTTCTCCGAATAGCCGCTTGATTATGCGGATAAATAAGTTGCGCACGCAAGCAACTTGCGAATCATAGGGGAACGGAGGTGTCCATGCACGCACAATGCAAAATTAATCAACCAAACACCTTTTGTTGTGTTTTTTTGAGACAACACCTTTTGTTGTTTTCATTTTACTAATTTATTAGGCATAAGACGCTAGCATAGGAAGTGTGGGAGGTAAACAGCTGACAACTTCTGTACTACTTCACAATTGCAACTAAATTTACGTTGGTCCATTTTTTTAATATTCGCACTTATATTAATCTAACAGAGTTTATTCTGGTGGAAAAAAGGGATACTTGAAGTGAGCTTCGCTTAGTAAGTAAATCGCTTATCTTTTGGGTTGGGCAAAAGTCCGAGTTATTATTTAGCTTTCAATAAATAGGACAAATTAAAACGGCGTTCGTACCAAAAATGAGTAAATTTAATATATCATTAAAAATTTAACTTAAGTAATTCTAATCGAAGCCTGCATTTTGTCTTAAAATCATTTCATGCATTTCATGTTAACAGAATCCTTGTGCCAATGCCTGTCCCATTTTTCCAGTAATTCGAAGTCTAGGCTTTTGAACATTAAGCCTAGGAGTGTTTAATAGCCTTGAATGAGATGTCGAACCCAAGAAAGGTGTATAAAGGTGCACACCGTGGATGGATTTGGATGACCTTCTCATAATTCTTAGGCAGACTTTGGTGGGCACCGGATGACCCCGAATACGTATCGGACTGCCTGTTTGCGCTGGCGAACGTACTCTCCTTTGCAAGGGTCAGCTACTTGATGCCGGCCTGGGAACTTCTCGGCCCTTTGCAAATCTCACTGGCGAGAATGGTGTCCGACATCATCAGATTTATGGCTCTGTTTTCTGTGGTAGGTTATTATTTAACAATCACTTGAGTTTTTCAAAGTCACACGAGACTCAAGCATTTTTACATCAAAATGTTGTTCATTACCTTGTCGTGTTTGACTAAAATGAAATAAAGAAAGGAAAATGAAATAAACCGGAGTATAAACCAAGCGTAATGTTGTGACCATCGTTATCCCTAATAGAGGTCTTGAGGCGTTGCTAAGGGGACATGACTGATTTTATCTCAATTTAAGAATTTTCTTATGCCATTTTCTTCCATGGTCCAAAAGACACACTTCGATCGTCTTGAATCTGATGCAAATTTCAGTGTACGTTCAGTGTTAACGTTCCTGTGAGTTAGAATTTATAACGTTATCGTATCCTCTACTTTTAAATAGGTAATTACTAAATTAAATTAATGGTTGAGATCTTTGCCTAATGCCAAATTTCCATTACTCTCTTGTAGATGTTGATTTCCTTTGTGGTGGGCCTTACGAACCTGTACTGGTATTTTGCCAAAATGATCGTTTCCATAGATACCAAACGAGGAACCACATCTGCAGCCCCTGCCACCGTGCGGTACGCAAGTGTGGTTCCTGCATTTCAGAGGTAAGATCGTCTTACCACTACTTGCAACTCTCTGCTCACGTGCCTCACCGTGGTGTTCGTTCGTCAGCACACACACTAGTAGCTTTCGTATTTTTTCACTGTGATAAAATAGACTATCAACCCTCCCCCGCAAAATTTGGGTTAAATTTTCTCAGATTTTCTCATGGGCGGCATTTTTAACAAATTGTAATCAAACCAACTTAGGATGAAATCAGAGGATTTCACCATAATGTATAAACCTTTTTAATGGTGCAAATTTCCTAAGACGCGGATTTGTAATTAAAATTTGGCATAATTGCTGAGAATTGAAAGCCACGACTTTGTCACTTTAATGAGTTACCGTTTTAATTATGTCAACTTCTACGTAAAAAAACTGCTTACGAACGCGATAACAACTTCAGTCGTGATCACAACTGATAATGCACTTTTTAAAAGCAGTTTGAACCAAGTCTTTGATGCAATCCTCACAAAATCTAAATTGTTCTAAGTAAATTAATGTCCACTTTGCTGGTGAAAACAGCTAGCGCCTGCAGAGGTTATAATGTCGTATGGTTAGTCAGAGTCGCAAACTACGCTTAACTTAAAGGCTTTCAGTGTTGAAATGTTAACTCACAAAGGTATTGATAAATTAGCCAGATAACTAACGATTGTTACTTTCACATTATGACGTTAATGCATTTGGCCTTATTTTATTCCATATATACCAAAATTTAATCACTCCCTCGTGAATATTGGCAGTAAAAAATTCTCAAACTGCTTGTACCCCCTAGCATTTGGAATCCGATAACTTAGTGAACATATTGCATTTCCATGAGATTTTTTTTAAACAAAAACCGATTATTATGTGTTACAAAACTGCTTCATCAAATTCCCTCCCTCATGACTTTGCCGTAATTAACCAACTTGTTATGCTAATGCCCTGTTCATGTCATGCAACCAGTCTACTTAGCATAAATTTGTTTGTATAATTTACCCAAGTTATTATGTGAATTAGGTTTCCAATGCCTAAGTAGCAGATGTTTGAAGGGTTTTGTGGAACCCAACACCGTCATCCGTTGACTATTTTCGGAACTTGTTTATATAATGCAGCAATGCTGAATCTGAATTTAAACAAATCCCTGGTTCATTCGGATATTTAATTGTGATACATTACTATAGTCGGGACCATTAAAATGTTTAACTTTGTGTCGTGTTATATCTAGCATTTATTCTGACAAAGCTTACGTCCAAACATTGATGTGGTAAACACACAGGCCATTTCGGTAAACACCGAAAAAGCACCGAATGCAACAATAATCTAAGCTGTAAATAACAAATACATTGCCATACTTTTAAAAAATTTAACAAAGGCCATTTTGGTTTCAAGTGTACCGGGATGTTTTTAACAAAATTTAATCACAAGTGGATATCAAGCGCATTTGCTCTCAAAAATTGGTTTGATCGTTCGCTAAGATTTTAGTAATCAGGTCATAGACACTCAAGGTCAGAGTTCATCTGCTGAAGTATGCACAAATTTGTACTTTGATCAAAGATTAAACATACTTTACCTGTAAGACGATCTGAAAATTCAATTTTTTGCCAAATGAAGTAAGGAAAACACTGGTCCTTGTATTTGATACGCAAATACTCACTTAAATATTACATATCCGTCATCCAAACAAAACCCTTACAAGATTTTTAACACATCGTGGATATGAACAAACAACAACTCACATTCAACTGGATGCATCCGAAGCGAATATTCTAAAATTCCATCACCATACTGGAATGACGGTTTGGTGAAATGCATGGTGGGCTAACGAATCTTGGTAAAACGGCCAGAAATGTAGACTAAAATAATCAAAACGGGACATTTACTCTAAACACTCAATATTTGAGATCCGATTAAATGGACTCAAACCATTTGAAACTTGTAAAGGCTGTTTTAGACAGATGCATTTGTATTAACGGTTTAAAAGTCATATTTTATGTATTATTCAGAGCATTAAGCTAGTTTACAAAGTGATCGGTGAAGACCGCCACAAATCATTGAATCCCTGGAAAAAAAAACGTACTGAAGTCCGTACTTAAAACGGCACACACATTTTCATTGCAAGAATTTTTTGCTTTGGTTAACTGCTGAGTGCATGAACTTCCAATGTTTAGATTCCACTTGAAAAACTTAAGGCCCAGCAAAAGGCAATCAAGAAGCTTGACAAACTATTTACAAACATTTGTAAAATGTGCTGTTGAAGGGATGAATTTACTACTGATTAAAAAAGATGGTGAGGATTATTGGAAACGGAGTCAAAACAAATAAGCTCATTTTATGGTCGCCTCTCAGCAATCCCCACCATCACAACCTCGTCATCTTATTTCCAAATATGGGGCAAAAAATATACATGCTGAAATGTTTGGAATTAAAAACACCAAAGGTTTTGTAGCACAATTATCCTTCACTGCGTTACCCATTACTCATGCACCAAAATGCCAGATAATCAAGATTTTGAACGTCTGAAGACTTCGAGTTTACTGTGAACGCAATCGCATGCATCTTCAATGAATAATGCCAGCATTATTCAAAATACTTGGGATTCCCTAACAAATTGCTCAATCTAGCAAACATTGTTTGATAATAAATTAAGGTTTTCATCTAGACATTTTTTTACAATACTATTACTCTGAAAATTTTAATGACTAATTTTCCAGTAACTATCTGTTAATAGCATACAAATAGTTTCAGACTTTCTAAAGATGCTTTGTATCCTCACCTCTTTAACTCAATGGTTGTGGTTTCTGCATTTACTTGACCGTTTTTCCGGCATTGCTGTATGTCTCCTGTTTGCAAGATGTTGAGTCAATGGGCTTATCAAAATGTACGGTCTAATGTAACATCGGCAACAGGATTCTAACCCACTTTTATTGACATTTAATAAAGTGTTTTAGGACAACTCGGTACTTTTGGGCATTTGGTTTAATTTACTAAAAGACTTCATGAACATTAGCGGCTGAAATGGTCTGGAATTTGGTGCAGCGCATTAGTCGGCAGCTTCACAGGCGTTTAACTGGCTTAAAATTCGCCTTTTGTGTGGTCACAAGACAAAAAGGTTTTAGTTAAACTTTATTTATAACAGGTTCAAAGGGGAACCAATCATCATCAAATTAGTATTTCTGAAATAAATGTGTGCAACTAAGTTTCAAGCCGTCTACGTTGAATAAATTCAGTTTTGACGGGAACAACATGACTTGCGTCCTAGGTAAAAGGAAATTTGTGCCAAGAGCACATGGTTGACTAGTTAGCTTAGGTTGTACGGCCGTTTTGTTCATACTCGCTTAGGTTTTCGCTTAAGCTGTTTATTAGCTAGATGTCAAGTGGTATTACGCAGCTCTACTGTTTAAAATAGGGGAATAGCTTGACAGGCTAGTTTTCCAGGAAATTCCAAAAACACAGTCAGCAACCTAAACCAACACAAGTCAGTTTTGTGTTTTTTTACTAAATTCCTACCTCTGATGACAATTTTGACCGCATTTCGATGCCTCATTATTTACCACTGGTTTGTGTTGGAGCAAGTGCGGTCGTTTCTGCGTTTGAAGACGCAGCTTTTTGCCAGGGGAAGCCCCAGTGATAATTCTATCGACAACATTTAATGATCAGTATTTATTGGTGTGCTTCAGGGAAACTTACCCAGCCAGACCATCCACTGTGATTGGCTATTACAGCAGGCATTTACTGTGACTTAATTAGGGTATTATCAGAAACGAATTGAAGTCACTTGGGCACCAATACACTTACTATCGTTTTTCTGTGTTTGCTTAATTCAATATTGTACTTCTGATGCAACAGCTTTTATAACCCACTGGCAGGAGTACAGATAATAATTTAGTAGTGACCATTTCCAATCATCCACTTTAGTTCAACTGCGACGTTCTACACCCTTTTTTGGTCACTCTTTGGAATGTCTTCAAATAACGTGACAATAGTGGAGGAGGAGTTGGCCAGTGTGTATCCAGGACACGAATTTCTTCGTGTGAACAATGCTGCCTTCATGATATCAAGTCTGGGTTCCTTTCTCTATGCCATCTACAACGCCTGCATGATTATCATTCTTCTTAACATGCTCATCGCCATGATGAGCAAATCATTTGATGAAATTCAGGTAAATGCTACCTTTTGCGTTTTCCCTTTATGTACCTGTTAGATTATGCAGCAAATATATGTAGGGTTTTAACTTATTGCAAATTACTTCGCAGAACCTCACTTATTTAGGAGAATTTAGTGGGCTCAAACAATCAGCTACCGTTCAGCTGTGAAACACCTTTTAATGAAGTACAATTTAAGTCTTTGTACAATTAATAAGAAAGCATGGAAGTCGGTTAGGCAAATGAATTAATGAGCTCGGATCCCCAATACAGCACCATGTTGTAACTGTTCCAACAAATTCTTGCGATGCACTGAGTTTTTCGCGTTTACCAATATGAGTACAAAGTTTACAGCAAGGAGTTTATTGCGCTCGGCGTTGCCTTGTTAAAATTTACTTTGTCTAGTTTTAATTTTTCCTTATGTTACCCCCCTTATATGTCAAAAAGGATCAGAAATCGGGGTGAGGTCAGTTAACACATTGTTTGGACCTGCGTGAATGCGTATATCCTGTGGTTACCTACTTAAGGCGTCATTCTTTTTTCCACACTTTGGTACCTTGCCTTTATATGACGATTGCCTATTGATGATCATTCTACAGACAAAATTTGGCCACGTTACGATGACAAATTCTAGCGCCTTATGGCCACACAAGTGTTATTTTAGACTGCACAAACAATGAAACCGTAAAGCTAAGCGAAGCATGGCAGATGCATTATTATTATTACTATCATTATTATTACAAAATCCACACGGATCCTTGATCCAGTTCATGAAGGAGGGAATAATTTTTAACCTGGGAATTTAAGCACTGATATTCTTGTAATTGCCTTGAATACAGTTATCTTCTTACTTTGAAATTCATTACAAAAGTCTTCCTGCAATAGTTTTACCGAGGTCATCACAAGCATCGATACTGGCCTTGTAATTTTCGCACTAATATTCTTCTAGGTTAGAACTTCAACTTAGTCCAGGAATTTTAGCGGCCAATGAAAACCAGGAACCGGATTTAATTGAAAACTGACTTTAAGTGCCTCTTTGAGCCAACCACATTTTTGAAAAAGTTCTTTTCCACAATAAATTACTTATTCCTCATAGTTTAAGCTCGCAAAGTTTGGTTAATGAGGCCTTCGGTCAACAAATTTTGCCAAAATGACACCCTGTTGGGAATGCCACTTACTAAGAACTTGATTTCCCTAAACAATTTACTGGCCATCGGTCCAGTCTGCTGCGCAATTTGTAGAGTTTCATTGGGCTTGTGGCAGGAAATCATGCTCGTCATCATACTGAAGTCAATTTATTTTGCAAAGTCCTTAAAAACAAAGCCCAAGGGGTCTCCTTTTTGCCTTGGAGTATTACAATAAATCCAGCATTCATTTCGCTTTGTGACTTAAAGGCATCTGAACGATTCTACATAACATCTTCGAGTTTAGATTGCACAACGGTTCGTGAAGACGGCTGGTTTTTTTGTGTGAACACTAGAAATACGTTGAAGTGACCAGACTAGTAAACCGAGCACAATCCAAACACGCTGCTTTGACGCAGCCCAGGCAAGCTCCATCAAGTGACTTTGATTGATCTATGGCCGGTGAGATTTCTGCGTACCTCTTTGAAGTCATAGTTGTTGCCTGGATCGTATTTATTTGGTGATAGTCGATGACAAGAAGAGCGCAGACGTTGTTTCCTTTCTATGTTTACAATTGGAATAATTGGTTTAATAAAGCTCAGCCGTCACCTTAAGCTGTGTAATTTGTGACCATGTTGCTAAAATGTAGACTTGTGCAATTGGATTAGTAACATTTGCAAATTTTTAGGGGGATCGCTTGGAGGAGTGGAAATTCGCCCGAGCAAATCTTTGGTTGGTATATATTGAGCACGAGGGAGTGCTTCCAGCACCGCTAAATCTCCTTCCATCGCGAGTCGCTATAACTAAATTGATCCTACGGACCTACAAGGCTCTTCTCACTTGCATTGCCAAGATGTCCGGAAGACAAAGATTGCATGACTATTTCGGAAAAGATGACCAAACATTTAGCTTTGCGAATTCCTTTCCCGTCGAAATGTCAACTCTTCAATCAACTAAAGAAACCTTCTATGAAAGTCAACCACCGGAAACTAAAAAGCTGGAATGTCTAGAAGTACGTTCTCGTGATTTACAATTTCATTCACAAAATCCCAACCTAATCAGCAATGGAAACCAGATTATTGCCAATTCAGGGAAATTGTGAATAAATAAGCACTGCGACCACAGATTACAACACGATTTCTCAATAACTTTTTGAGCCGAAATCGTTTAGGCTAGATGCATCCCCAAGCTTCATTCGTTTTCTCTAGTCATCACCACCACTTGACACGATTTCTTGTAACTATTTATTGGTTGCTGAAATTAAAAAGCCCTTTTTGCGTCCGTTAATAAAGTTGGTACTAATTCGAATAGCAATTATGGGATTCAACCTATGTGCACCCAGAGAAAAACTGAGAATGGCTTAAACTAGGTCGGGGCCACCACGCCATTTCTAGCCCGATTGCGCACAACCACCTACTACATAATCCGACGAAGTTGTGTTTGTGTAGTGTGCATGACTTAAAGTGCGTGCATGACTGGTCAGTCGGGATGCCTTAGTAAGAGTACAAACGTCTGAATGGCCAGATAGATATGAGTGGTTCGTGCTCAAGGGTGAATGTTGGACAGCCTGAGTGCGAAGCTGCAACGACCGGGTTATTGGACGTGAATCAACAGAATTGTACACTTAATTTTAAAATCAGTGGACAAATTTCAGCTAAGAAAAAAATGTTCATTGTCTCTATAACCATGTTTTGCTCCATTTCAATCATTTCAACCTCAAAGGGGTGTTTTCATTATCACAATACTACACCAAAAACAACAAGCCTGTTCCCAGCTCTGTGATTTTGTTTAGTTAAATGCAATCTAGTCATTTGTCTTTTGGTTTTTTAGACACATCTGACACGCGTAAAATGTAACATCATGAGGCGATACCTTTTCCAGCTTCAAAAACACAAAGAAGCAGAGAACAAGTCCGGAGGTTGGTTCACTCTATTCTCCTTTAACTGACTTCTTCACTTTTGTCTAATTCTCTTTTTTTATGAATTTCACCAGATCTGGCAATGCTGAACATACAACGGCAACAGCAGCAGCAGCAGGAACTCCGAGTGACACCACTTAGTCCCACAGCACTGCAAAAGAGATGCGCCTCAACCAGTGAGTATGGGCAAAGATCATACGCCAAATGTTCCGATGGGCACGTGATTCACGGAGCTCCGATGGCTACTGATGTTTCTAATGGCGAAGTTGTTGAAAATGCTAAAGCAAGGGATGGATACCCCTTAAATGAAACCATGCCACGAGAAGAATCTGCATTTTCGAGTTCTTTGGCAAAAAGCTGTAAGAGGGGATTCAGTTCCCTACTCATGCCTCCTTCGGTTCGACGAAAATTAGAGGAAGTTGCTGAGGTTCAGGGACGCACGAACCCTTACACTCCAGCAAGTCCACAGGACGCCGAAGATGCTGTTCGTTATCTTCTACTGGAGACTACCTGTCGACCACAGGAGATGCCAGAAAGTACATCGGTCAATTCACAAATGCTCAACAAATCGAATCGGAGATACGATCCAAATAGTTTTGATAGTCAGTTTACAGCACGAATTGAACCACCACTTCAGCACACTCACCTAAGAGAATTATACAAGGTTGAACAGGAAATGCACGACATGTCGGATGCATTGTCATCGATCTCATTCACCGATTCTACCATGTCTGAGGTAGATGAGCTTGAAATACCAACATTCAGTAAATTTGATGATGCTTAAACTGCCGAATGAAATATCCTGGTCAGTGTAACGCCAGTCTCTGAAACCTTTCCTTCTGACTTTTATCTTATTTCGAGCGTGTGTTTAATCTGCATTTACTTTACTTATTTTTGTCAACCATTTTTGATGGGCAAGATGGCGAATTCAGACGGTGTCATCGTTATCAAGGGGGTACAGAACTTTATTGTTTCTCTTCTACTTAAGGTACTTGGTTATACACCGAATGGCAGTGCCCCTGATGATAAACTGGAAACTTGAATTTGCATTAGAAGTGCAGTCAACCGTTGAGGTTGCACTGGCAGGCTATAAAAATGGCGAGGAGAAGAAACGATGTTCTCTGATTTTTGACTTAAGTTACCACAAATCATCTTTACCAAACGAATTCGTGAAAATTAAGGCATGCTCCAGGCTCTACGTGATGTTAATTGAGGCTAACTGTGCCACGTTGATGTTATTATCGTTTTGAAAATCCGTGCTTCATATGTCATTGTTGGCAGTCCAGAGGCAGTGAATTGCTTTGCCATGGAAGTTTCCCTAGTTGTCAAATTTCAATGGTCATTAATAAATTTGAAATACAGAGCTTTGAATACTTAGGCTTTTTAGTCAAATCTGTAATTAGTTATAAATTAGATTACAGGTCTATATGGTTCACCACAACGGCAAATATTTTAAGAGAATTTCAAATTTCAACATTTCAGTCAGTTATTAAAACGCTGCAGATCCACGGTTAGTCCAAGAGACTTGCTGATCCACATTTAAGATTCGTTGTATTCAAAACTTTTCTAGTCTAGATGTGGGCAGCTATTTCGAAAGTTCATATGGTTGTGAGGGCCACCACTAACAAAATTTAGCAACTTTCATAAATGTCAAGGAAACGGTAACACAGAGTGATCCCCTTAATGCTTTCTCGCAATATAGTACACATCACTCTTTAAATCAATACGCTCATATCGCTGTTAACTTAATTCCAATTTTTCTGAAAAATAGCATCAAAATAAAACAGTCAACTCCAATTATTAAAAAAATATAGCAATTCTAAAAAATTGGAATTTTTTAGTGCTAGACTTTCGATCTAACCGATTAGGGGCACTCAAAGCTCAAGACGGAACAGCTAATTCTGAGTGGTTCGCGTATTCTAATTGATCATACTTATTCAGTGGTCGTAACCGTTCACCTATCTTCGTGTGTTTCGAATTATCATTAATTCTTGTTCAGGTACTAAGTGTTTGAATACGTATAAAATTTAAGGTATTTTTCTTACAGTAAAAGCAAATTCACTTTTTTTAAAAATTTGGCTAGACATCTGTAGATTTTGTGGTGAAAACTTGAATTTGCGTTTAGAACGTCGAATGAATAACTATTGAATAACTATTGTATGTTTTATGAAAATAAAACCCAAAAATTAGCAGTTTGGAAATAAGAGTTAGATAAAGCCACTATTAAAGCATGCACTTATAACTTGTGGACGTGTACTTGCACTGCCCCACAACTCTGCCAGTTTATAGACCTTAAAATCTCGAGAACAGAGTCCTGACAGGCGACAGTTGATTCAACCTCATGTTCTCAACAGCGATCAATAAAGGATTAGGGATTCAAAGTTCACAACAAACTAATGCGGGTACCACCGCCAATACTGAAAGAGTGTGCCTTTTATTTGTCAGCGAAATGCCGAGTAATGCCTGTGAATGCCCATACTTATGAATGCTTGGTCGTCCAAGATTCACCGATATGAGAGGAAGTAGCAATGGGTGAGAAGTTGTCGGTTAGTGTGGGGAATTAGTGTGGCTAATGTTATATAGAAAGATGGTCATACAAGAACAATTATGTCACAATTTTACTGAAAATTTAGTCATTAGCAATGCTGAATTCCCCATCAAGTTCTAATATCTATTAATGACATTTTGGTAGATTGAATATTTTTATACGCTTACATAGTGCAATGCTTTCAGCGTACTTCATATGCTTCAACTTGGTCAGTCACATGTAACTCGTAAACCAGAGAGCTGTTTTTATATTGAACACACGTCAGGAACCCAGCCTTTTTGCTTATTCACTGTGGGTAAGATAAGTATTTGGACGCATTTACCTAATTCTCGCTGCCTAATAATATTTTGATTCCTTCATTACAGCAACTATTGACAGTTAACAGGGCACAAAATTCATCTAAATAAAATAAACTTGATGAGAAAGAAGGTTCCGCTAAGAAATTTCTGAGATTTTATTTACAAATGAAACTCTTAAACCTTCGAGAAGAATCAAACGAACAGTGTGACACCAAAAAAATTAATTCATCATATTACTCAAAATTACAGTAATCTGGTTTAGATCGCGGAAATTAATTCTATTAGCAAATTTAATTACTTGATCTGAGAGCTGAACTAGATCGCAACTTTGCAGTTTCCTTTTATAACGGTGATTCGTTTGATTGTAAAAGCAACTAAATTTAGACACAAAGTGTAACCAGACCCCTGCTTCGAAAGTCAACGTGGTTTTCAATAATACGATTTCTTCAGCCAGTCCGGCCTTGCTAGGTAGCAATAGAGGAAGAAACAAGTTAAAATTAAACACTGTGCAGCCTGATGTTACTTTTACCGATAATTTAAAATCGCCAATGTATTTTGGCCAGGTAATTTTCTGTGTGTGAAGGACTACAAGAAAGAAAACATGACCCTGTAGTGGACTGACAGCCACCTTGCTTGGGTGATGCGTGCATGGGGGCCCGAGTGGACCAATGACTCACCCCTTTTGATATTGGCCTCTCTCAGCATTCGCCTGTTACGCACTCGTACAAAGCCACTTGGCTGGTGTGACAACAATAAACGATCGTGTCCGCTGTCGCCCCATTTCCACTCTTCTCGAGCCGTCTTGGGCTGTTAACTAGAGGGTTAAAAGGTAGTGCTCAATTCCCTAGCCACTACAACCCATTCCAGTGCCAAATAGATTCACTTATAAACGAGGTACTTATCAGAAACACTACAGCATATATAAAAATCACCTATTAATGACGTCATCAAAACGCTGTGGTTGATAGAGGAACATTTATGTTTTGAATCAAGGCAGGCGTGTGTCATCGGTTTAACCGTGCTTTTAGCCACTTGGTATGAGTCGTGTGCGAGTGGAATAGCCGAGTTCTAGTATGAATAAGACAGGAACAACAAAGCAGTCTTTATTGACTAATCACAAGCCAGCACCCTCAATTCGGGCGCCGCACCGGAGTGGACCAAGCTGGATACGCCGATCATTAGATACGGCTCCTCGTTCGTGTCTTTCTCTGGATGGCTGCCTATCTTCCTCGCATGCCACTGGAACGCAAAGAGACACAGGATTGGCTGCGGCCAGGTGGTCCAATATGTCTGCGCCCTGATCCGACGCCACACTGCCTCCCCCTTAGGAGTGAAGCTGTCCTCAGCTTCTGGCTTGGTTCCTTGC